GACCCATGGCGGAGGTTAAACAGTGGGTCACACCAGAGATAATGATAGGTTAACAGGAAACGTTTAACAGGGCACACAGAGCACTGAACGTAGAACAAATGGTTGGGGTGATCAAGCCCGACCCAGAGGGTCCGAAGACCCAGAGGGTCTGGAGACCCAGATGGTGCTGGGGACGTCTCCACCACATACCAGCTAGGGGGAAGTTAAGCCGCATCCAGCCTTCCCTCCTAGAATCAGATCTGTCCGGTAACAGAAAACAGAGAACAGAAAATCGAAAATAGGTGCCGCCTCGCGTACCTTGCTTAAGCCAGGTCTGAGAACGGAAGGCCGGGGCCGAGGAACGTCTCTCGGGAGCTCTCCCCTAGCTGTTCCGCTTCAGCCTCCGAATTTCGGGTGGTCATAGAATCTCGGTGGGACCTCCAAATGAAACACCAGACGCCGAATAGAAGCGAGGCAAGATTTTATTCACGGCCGGGCCAAACCTGCTCTCCTGATCTTAAGGAGAAAAGTGCAGAGAATGGCCCCGCACAAAGGTAGCAGTGAGCTTACATGGATTTTAGCAAGTCAGAGTACGTCATTATTTAGTTAACCAATTACAATTGACAGCATTTCACGGTAGCCAATTATATTGTGACACACAGACCGTTAGTTTTGGCGGGAACCTATCAATTTAAAGTTCTTTGTTCTAAGAGGGTTTAAAATCACCAATCATAGTTAGACACCTAAGATACCGTGGGGCAGTGAGTTCATGACTTTCTACATGTTGGTCTTGCCTAGGCCAGATCTTGGTAGAAGGGGTGGGGAGCATTTTGCAACCTAAGTTATCTACTTAGCAAGCAGGTGAAGTTACGGAAGCGAGATAGGGTGGTTAGTAATTTCCGATAACCCTAATAGGGAACTGCATAAGCTTTTATCTCAATTATTCATGAAAGGTGAGTTTAAGCCCAACTTATACACAGTAAGCTTTCTGATATCTTATAAGTCGACCTATTACACTACAACCCTGAAAACATCATGCTAAGTGAAAAAAGCCTATAACGAAAGCCCACATATTAGAAGACACCATTTATTTAAAATATACAGAACAGCTCCTATCAGTGATGTGGTACCATCAGGCTATTACAAAGTATTGGACAGGAGAGGGCTCCCCCAAGCAGCCTGTCATTGTGAAGGCCAAATTCTTCAACAGAAGAGCTGAAGAGAAGATCAAGGGGTAGGAATGGCTGTGTCCTGGCAGCTTGAAGCCCCATGGAGGGAGGTCTACTAAAAGGTAACAAGTGCTTTTCAAAAAAAAAAAAAAAAAAAAAAATCTATTTTTGTCCCACATAAACCTAGGATTCTGCTAATGGGTACAGGGTTACTTTTTGGGGTAAAGGAAATGTTCTAAAATTGATTATGTTGACAGTTGCACAACTTATTGAATTGTATACTTTAAATGGGTGAATCATAAGGTATGTGACATATCTTAATAAAGCTCTCACATGTATTTTTAAAAAGCACGGGTAGAGGGGTGGGAAACAAAAGGGAAGCAGGAGTCTGGGGGTGATGGAAATATTCTAAATACCGATTATGGTGGTGATGGTTCCCGGGGTATACATTTGTCAAGCCTGATCAAAATGTGTGACGTAGGGGCGCCTGGGCGGTTCAGTCGGTTGAGCGGCCGACTTCGGCTCAGGTCACGATCTCGAGTTCATGGGTTCAAGTTCCACATCGGGCTCTGTGCTGACAGCTCACAGCCTGGAGCCTGCTTCAGATTCTGTGTCTCCCTCTCTCTCTGCCCCTCCCCTGCTCTTGCTCTGTCTCTCTCTCTCAAAAGATAAAATAAAACGTTAGAAAAAAAAAATTTTTAGAAAAAAATTGTTTTAATGGGATGTAAATTAATTTTCAATAAAGTTGATTTAAAAAACAAACAGGTGGAGAAGGCCGGAAGGAGCAGGGCAGGAATCAAGACCATTACATGACAAAGGGCAGGTCCTCTCCAGTTGCCAGGGAAAACAATTCAGAGGGGACCTGGACTCCTCCCCTCCCCTCAGGAGCGTTAGGATTCCTACTTCCTCATTAGACAACACAAGGGAAGCCAAAGGAATTGAAATGGAAAGCAGGGTCCCTCCACAGTGCCTGGCCTGGAGGAAATGAGGCTTCTAGACTTTGTGCAGATGGTGATTTGAAGACCCCGGGCTCAAAGTCTTGGAAAAGGAGCGGCACCGGCCTGTTTAACATTCAAGTGCACTTTGTAGACTCTCCTTTGTCTTACTTAGCCTTATAGGAGTCCTGGTAAAACATGCCTCACCCAGCTGGGTGCCTGTTCTCCTTCTAGGGGTCTCCATCTTGATCTAGACCTGAAGCTGCCAAAGGGTCTGAATGCCCAGCACGATACCTGGCATTCAGCGAAGCCTAGATTAGATACACGAGGTAGAGGGGGCAAAACCCACCCACTCTCTAGAAGAAGTTTGAATTGGTCAAGAAGTGGGGCTGTCCCAACGCCTGCGCAGTGCTTGTCTTAGGCAGCCCCGCGTCCCGTCCGCTCAGCCTCGCGTTCTTTCCCGGCTTCCACCTTCCCCTTCTGCTGCCCCTGCCCCAGCCCGACGTGCCCTTCCTCGGGCGTACCTGAGCACAGGATGGAGTAGAAGCCCTCCTTCTGGAGCATGATCAGCAGGGAGCCCCAACCGAGGAGCACGGCAGAGAAGAAGAGGTTCTCCAGCATCGCGGTGCACGCCATCCACCAGCGCCTCCGGTACGCCTGCTGCAGCGTGGGGGCCATGCTGGCCGCGAGCCTGCACAGGAACACCGCGCTGAGCAAACGGACCCCCGGCGGCCCCGGGGAAGGGTCTCGCATCCCGGTGGCTCCTGAGACCCCTCGAGCCTGCCCGCGAAGGTCCCAGGGCCCTGGGCTTCAAGGCGGGTGCCGCCGACCTGGCTCTGGGCGCACTGGCAGTGCCAGGGGCTCACGCGGCGCTGCGCTCCCGCCGGGCCACTATCGGAAACAAGGAAGGTCCTGTCTGAGCGCAACAGATTCCTGGCGCGCTGCCGGGCTCTTCCAGCCAGGCCAGAACGCGCAGAGCCCGGCTCCCCGGGCCCAAACCCGCACCTCCCCAAGTCCCCAAAAGTCAGCAAGGGGCAGGGCGCGCTCTGAAGCCACCGCTGGCCAGCATCCGGCCGCCCGCGCCAGGAAGGACCCCCAGAAGCAAGCAGGAGGAGGAAGGGGAAGTCTGGGACTAGCCTGAGACACCCCCCCCCCCCCCCCATTCCTGCTGCCCCAGTAAGACCACTCCTCTCCTCTGGGGCCCGGCCCCCGCTGGCCCTCCGCCCTCCGCCTCTCCGCACCAGGCGCCCGGTGTCCCCGCCGTCCCTCGATCCAGGCAGACAGCTGCCACGTGGAAGGAGACCCGGGGCGGGCCCTCCGGCGGCCCCGGCGCCCCTCACTCACTCGGCAGGGCGCGGGCCACCACGCGGCGCGCATCCGAGCCAGCCCGCGCTCTCGGGTCGGGGAAGGGTGCTCGCGCTCCGGCAGGAAGTCCCGCGGCCGCTGACTTTATAAGGGCCGAGCTCCCCGCGGGCGGGCGGCGGGCGGGTGTGTTTACCAGAGGGAGGGAAGGAGCCCGAGCTCCCCCCGCCGCGGCCGCCGCCACCACCGTGGGAGGAGACGGGACACGGGCGGCGCGGGGGTGGGGAGCGGCAGGGGGGAGACGGATGCCGCGGAGAGGAGAGGGACGGGGAAGGGCAAAGGGGGGAAGGGCGCGAGGGAGGGGCGGAAGGCACCAGCCGCGGCTGCCGGGGCCTCAGTACCCTCATCTGTGAAATGGGGCTCTGGGTTCCGGCGCGCCCGCAGGTCGGTTCAAACTCCGACAAGAGTGTTGCTCCAAACTGAGGAAGTGCAGCCGAGGGGGCCGAGAGGAAGAGGAGTACCCGAGGGGCCGGAGGAAAGGGAGGGAGGGACGCGCTTGGAGAGACGCGACAGCGAGCCGCGGGACCCCACGGGCTCGGGGGAGGGAGCGGGTTTTTTCTTGGGGAGCCTGGGAGTGTCGGTGGGAGACGGCCCGTGGGGCTCTCGGCGGACCCGCAGCCGGGGACCCCCTAACCACACCCGCCGCTCACCTCTGGTGGGGGGAAGCGCGCCTCCCGCGGCTGCGGACGCCTCCGGGAGCGCAGCGCCTTCGCGGCGCGTCCACGCTCTGCGGCCGTGGTCGCGCGGGCCCAGCTGCGAACCGCACGGGCTATCGGACTTCTCTGCGCGCCGGGGCCGGGCCGCCTCGGGGACTCAGCGCCGCAGTCTGGTGTTCTTGCCTCCTCTAACCCCCTCGGAAGAAGTCGGGGAGCGGGGAACCCGCCGGGCACCCCCGATCCGCGAGACGGGGCATAGGCGGAGCGGATCCACGGAGTTAATACTTGTATTTACACCCGTCCCGGGCTGCGCCCCGAGGTGGGGGCGGGGGCTCCCTTCCCTTCCCCTCCCCCTAGGTCTAGTTTCACGCGCACGTGACTCGCCCTCTAGTCCCCAGATACTCCCCCGCAGCACACGCCCCAGCACAAAGAATTCCCACCCCCACCCCCGCCCTCTCCCTCGGGCCCCCCAGACGAATTGGGCAGCTCCCTCTGTATCCTTGGTCAAAACAGAGAACGACTCAGCTGGAGCCGACTGGCCCCGATGCAGGGCCGGCTTGGGTGGGGTTTTGAACTGTGCAGTTGGGAGTAGTGTTTTCTGAGAAGCAGAATGACATGGGTTTCCTTAGAGTTAGTCAGCTGGAGGTCTGCATCTGGACTTGGAAAGTGACTGGCCTGGCTTAACTTGGGCAAGTTGTTTAAACTCCCTGAGCCTCGGTTTCCTTCTTTGTAAATTAGGATAAGGGGGGGCGGGGGGGGCGGTGAAGGACGACGGAGTTAAGGGTTATGATGCAGGTCAAATGCTGAGCCCGGCGCTCAGCGTGGGGTACGTGCAACAAGTGTTGATTGTTGTTACTGCTATTGCTATTATTATTTCAGAAGACCTGGGAATAGGATGCTTCCAGACACTTACTGATTCCTGGTAAATCTCCCCACCTCCCTGGGCCTCAGTTTCCTCATCTGTGAAATAGAGGGGGAGGTGTGGGTTAATGAGGTGAAGCAAAGGCCAGTCAATACTGATGTGAACTTAATACAGCGTGTTGAGAGTGGTAGTGGTGATATCCACAAAGCTCCGGAGCCATGTGAGCGACTGGCCACGAAGACCTCAAGACCAGGGGATCCCTTAATGGCCAAGCCACCAAGCCAAGAGAGGGAACTCACATTTGCTGAGTGGCTACTAAACTCTGGGCGCTTTCCAAACAAAAACCATTAAACCCTCAAAACATCATGGTCTCATTTCAACCCCACAGGGGTTGGGAGAAGGCTGGCGGCTGGAACAAGGTAGGTGGAGGCAAGATGTGAAGTCAGATCTTCCGGCTTTTAAGAGTGGCCCTTTCCATCCCTCTAGGCCAGAAGCAACAGCAAGAGCAAAGGCTTAGCAGTGAAAAGGGCACAAGGAGTTCTCTCTGGCAGGAGTGGGGTGTCAGGCTCTGATGGTTTCACCTTTTAAAGCTCATTAGTGACTCGCAGAACTTCCCGATCAAGGTCAAACACCTTAGCTTAGCCTAGAATAAGGGTTCTAACCTGAGACAGTCACAGATCCCTTTGAGAATGCAATATGCAATGTTTTGAGCGCACTCCCTGTGAAAATGCATGTGTGACCAGGAACACATACACACATTCAAATTTCAGGGCTTTATGGACCCCTTCCGTGGGCGTTAGGGGTCCATGGGCCCCCACGACTTTAAAGCTTGCCCTTCTTGATCCCTGACACCGGTCCATGTTTTCCCCTCGTGGACTCTCAGCTCCGGGAGGGGGAGGGTCTGGCCGGCTGTGCTCACTGCTGTATCCCCAGCACCTAGAACAGCACCTGCACCTAAGAGGCACTCAGCAAGCACCTGTGGAGGGAAGTGTGAGGCCAGCTGGTTTCATACCTCCTTGCCTTTGCACCTGCTTCTCCTTCTTGTGGGCATGACAGATTCCCTTCTTCATTTCCAACGTACTCATCCTTCACAACTCACCTCACGTTTTACCCTTTTCTGGGAGCCGTCTGGTCTGCTCAGCCGGGGGGGGGGGGCGCGGGGGGCCCATGTATTCCCCCAAAACACTAGTTTAACCTCCGCTGAAGCCCTCACACTGACCTAGACTCATTGGTGTAGCTGTCTGCCTCCTCCCCCCACAAGCTATAAATTTCTCGAGGGCAGGTGCCACGTGGTAGGTATGTGCCTGCCACCTATGCCAGCACCCGGCAGGTAAACGAGCCCCTGGTTAAATGTGCTGGATAAACGAAAGGGGGGTGGGTGGGAAATGAAGCTGAAAAAGTAAGCTGGGGTCAGTCTGGAATGACCTCTGTGAGGCCAAGGACTTTCAGTGTCGTGAGATGGGCGACAGGAACTCCGGGATTGCATTTTCTTGTCTTCTTTTCTTTTCTTTAAGGATGGCGATTAGATGTGGTCGAGTTTGTGTGCCTAATGAATGGAGGATATACTGGAAAGGAGAGAGAACCTAGAACAGTTGAGAGGTCTTAAAGCGACTCTAATAGTTTAGATTTTTTTTTTTTTTAAATAGAAGGGAACAGATCTAAGACACACTTCCATATCAGAATTGATAGGATTTATCAGCCCCCTTCCTGTCCCCCAAAAGGAATCCCTTCCTAGACTCCGTTTCTCTGACACTACCCATGTCACATGGGCTCTCCTGCTGGCTGCCAGCTGCAGCCTGCTTCACAGCTGAGCGGACCAGAGTACCAGCTTCGGAGGCACACAGGCTGGGGTCCTGATCCTGGCTTTGCAGCAGACGAGCTGAGCAATTTTGCCCAAGGCACGCACGCTCCTGAGCCCCCCTCTCCTAGTCCGGTAAGTGCTGGAAATGACAGTATCCAGTTCAGTATGTAAGACATGATTTCTTCTAATAAGTAGTTATTATAAACTTTTGCACGAGGAATGTAAATAAAATGGTGCAGCTGCTTTGGAAAAACAGTTTGGCAGCTTCTGGCATCATTAACATGGAGTTACCACGTGACCAGCAACTCCACTTTTAGGAATATACCCGAGAGAACCGAGAACATCCACAGACACAGAAATCTGGACACAAATGTTCATAACAGCATCATTCAGGATCGCCAGAAAGTGCAAACAACTCAGTGGTCCGTCAATTGATGGATAAAACAAAATGTGTGTATACTAATATGCAATGTGGTCGTATTCGGTCACAAGGAATGAAGTACCAGTTGGTGCTGCTACCACAGGGAAGAACCTTGTAAGCATGCTGGGTGAGAGAAGCCAGACACAGAAGGCCACATACTGTATGACTGCACTTATATGAAATGCCCAGATTAGGCAGAACCGCTGAGACAGAAGTAGATTCATGTGGTTGCCAGGAGCTGGGGGAGAGAAAGGTGGGAAGTGATTACTAACGAGTATGAGTCTTCTTGGGGCAATGAAAATGTGCAATCAGATAGTAGAGACGGTTGTACAACTTTGTCAGTGTACTGGGCTCCACCGAATGTTACGCTTTAAAATAACTTATTTTTAAGATTACTTTAAAAACTTTTGGGAGGCGCCTGGGTGGCTCAGTCGGTTAAGCGTCCGACTTCGGTTCAAGTCATGAGCTCGCGGTTCGTGAGTTCGAGCCCCGCATCGGGCTCTGTGTTGACAGCCCGGAGCCTGGAGCCTGCTTCGGATTCTGTGTCTCCCTCTCTCTCTGCTCCTCCCCCACTCG